TGATATATGTCGCGCAATGCTACTTACGAATATGAACCCCAGAGGCTTGAAATTACTCGACTTCCTAGATAACATAACATAACATCAGGCTTTTTATCCCCGAAGGGATAGGCAGAGGTGTACATTATGCCACTGTATAATGTAACACCCACTTTTCACTATATATGTTATGAGTCCCATGTAATAGGGGGTGAGCCTATTGCCATATCCGGTATATTCCAGACTCCGTGCTGCAACTGAGATTTTTTTTAAAACCAAGAAATACTTTGCTCCACCCGGGAATCGAACCCGATACTCCTTGCCCGGCAGTCGCACTTACGACCAGTCGGCCAACGAGGCAATCTTTGTCTCTAGATAGACTTTCTAGATAGACATAGACATACATGTATTGTCTAGTATTTGTGTCACAAAAGTTATAATACAAGACCATATTAAGCTGATAGATCAGGTAATCGACCTCTAAACTCTGAGTGAACATCAAATTCCTTGCTTCAAACCAACACCTGTAGGTACTCGATTTTCAAAGTAAACGAGTATCTGATTACACTCACCTAAGAATACCTACTTAGGTAGCTACTTGAGAAACGCAATTTAATACAGTACAGTTCATATTTTATTACCTAAATCACTTTAGGAGTCAGTTTTCGTGGTAAATGCCATCCATCCTCGTTATCTTGAAGGTCACCTTTGTAGTAATTAATGGCATATATCGCCTTTCTCCGGCCATTAGGTACGCGATAATTTTTCCTTGTATTTAGCTGATATTTAGTGTCATTTTTTGTTATTTTTTGTTAGGACCAAATCGGATAATGATTTATCGTCGTATACACAGCTTAGTTCGTTTAAGTCTCATTTTTTTCAGTTAGGATATGTCGTGTTCTACCTCCTTAATATACCTCTAATAATGATACATACATATATAACTTCACGCCTATCTCCCATAGGAGTAGGCAGACTATGGAACGCCAATTGCTACGATTCTTACATACCTCCTTCACTTCATCAACAATCATCAGTCTTTTCATGCATTAAGGGTACTTTAATTAAGACCTTTTTAAATATATCGCCAATCTGGTCAGTATATGTCTGTATAGGGCGCTCTCTACCAACGGCCTCAGACATTCCGCTCTGATAATTATCATATAGTAATGAGAATTATACTACTGGTAAATTATTTCATCGCCTGTCTTCTGGCCTAATCCTTGGTCTCATTACTTGGCAGTGTTGGGACAAATTAACCGTAGCTGGTAAAAAATGGGTGCATTAATAAATGTTTCTTTAGCTACTTCCTTATTTGAGGATGTGTGGAATATCTTGTGTCTTGAATTTGATCTAAATGCGTATGATGTTTTTGAGTTAGAATTAGATACCTATCTAGCTAAAACCCCTATACACATTAAGGTCTACTGGTGTCGCGTCGCATCATCTTTCCGCACATTAAACGTTCTGTTTATACTGGTTATGTAAAGCTCGATGTGTAGCCGTGTGTACAATCTAATTCTTTTCCTAGAGCCTGTGCCAATTTTAATGACATTATTGGCAAAAACATTAAGAAGAATTTACATATATTTAATAGAAATTAGTGATCGTATCATTTTGAGAATAATGTGACAAAAATTCCTATACCAACTTATGTATCGCTAAGATCCCGAATACAGCACATTCACGTACCGAATAAATATGTACGTATCGCCAATAAAGCAAAATAAATCCGCGTACTAGACCATTAAATATTATAACACTGATGTGTCATGACTGGATATGACACATACCAATGTTAGTGATATTGTGTATTAACTCAATGGGTAGATACAATATATGCTTTGATATAGCCCGCTATCAATTGATACAACAGGTAAAGCAAGTCATGTACCATGCACATAATAGTCAGTCATATTCCTAAAGTATGAATACTTTAAGGTTCAAGTCTCATTTAGTTTTCCAAATAATCATTCGATTATCGTAATGACACTAAATATTTTCAATGATAATAAGCTACGTATTCGTCTCTCGATCTAAGCGCGTATTTCCATACAAAGTCATCAATGGATCTAGTAAAAGTCACTATAAAAATTAATTAAAATAATATTTTACAAATCGATGTTAATCAACTTGGATAATGTGCCACTTCTAGTATACCTATTCTACATCTGTGATATCTCTAAAGGTGAAATAAAAAAAATATTACACAACACTATAAAGGCTTTCATGGAGACTGTTCCAAAACAATTTTAGTTGGTGATGTGGATGACAGAGGGTTACAGCTGGTTTCTATTACTGAAGAATGCTTGGATATTGTAAGCTAAAGAAAAATCTTCTAAACTAATGTTGAACAGGCCTCACACACTAGTCTAGAACTTTAATAACAGCTAATATTTCTATTTCTAGGGTATAAAATGCTGTGGACCAGGTGTTCCTTTCAAAGAAATTGGCTCAAGTATTTATAGACATGCAAAGAGACATGGCCTGACAGTAATTCCTTCTGTATTGGGACATGGTATTGGGGAGTATTTCCATGGACCTCCTGAGATATATCATAGTAGTAAGTATATTTTTTACACATATGTAGTTCCAAAATAAGCTTGCCTCTCAAATGGGATCGCAACTTCTATTTCCTTTATAACATTACCTTCACAAACTAAACATTATTTATTCCACAGTCAACAGATACCCTGGAGTAATGAACCCAGGCATGACATTCACCATAGAGCCAGCTTTAACCCATGGGAGTAAACATGCAGTGCTGCTTGACGATGGCTGGACTTTAGTCACAGAAGATGGCTCCAGATGCGCCCAAGCAGAACACACAGTTTTAGTCACAGAGGATGGAGCAGAAATAGTTACCAAATAATACTCTCTCTAAAGTGATAGCTTAGCTTAGTATTTTTAGTATTAAAACTACAAATAATCAACTGTGATACCAATTTGTTGTTTAGTATAATTCATTGTGTTTGTTTGGTGTTGTATGTTATGAAATATTATTTAATTTTTGCTTTTGTTGTGTCCATAACGTTATGGTATTGTTGATAAGGTTTTATTGATTCTTATGTGCTTTGTAATTGATTGATTGATTCTAATAAAAATACAAAATAGCGTGTAATGTTTCATTTATTTTGCTTGATAAATCTTAAATTAAAACATGTAACTTGGTACATTAAAAGCACAAGCACAATAATTATCACTCATATGTCAGTCAATAGATAAAACTTTAAAGGCGTAGAGGGAAGGTATCGATTGAGTCTGTAACATGTGGATAATAATGTAGGAGGACAAAGGCGTAACCAATGGGCCGTAAACACACTCCCAGGGATTAATATTCGCTCTACGTTCCGGGTTCCACCGCATCCAGTCCAAAGAGTTTGGTCCCATAGAATATCCAGCTACGCCTCGACGATTAATTACTAAGTGTGACAAGTGACAACTGTTAGGAAGAAGAATAATTAACAATAATGACTAGGTCTTAAATGCACTACAATAAAATTTTTCATTGACATTACACTAGGTAGAAGCATTTCAAATAATGTTCGAGAGAATGTCATTGAACCTTAAAAAATAATTAACATGGACTAGTAAACAGTAAAGTTTCGAACACAGATCAAGAACCCTGCAGAAAGTATGTAGGTAGTAAATATAATTAATTCAATGTTTTAAGTAACAATAAAATTATTCACAATTCACAAACCAACATTATAAAGTAACATCTTTCTTCTGTGCCATTTAGAGTAAGTTTTCTTAATCTTAAGTATAATTAATATAGTACTTTAAGTAGTTAATATTTTTACTCATAATTAATAGATAAAATGTAAAATATTAAGGTACAATTTTAAGTGTAAATATTTTAGGTAAAATAATCTTTTAAGATTTAGAACAATAGATAATATTTCTTAAGTTTGCTCAACTAAATTAGTAAGTACATAGGTGGAAGTAGAAGGACGTAAACAAACTGACTCTATCTCCTTAGAAATGAATCATACAATTCATATCTATTCATTGGATTAACCCTTACCGCAAGCGAATATTCTTAAATATATTTTTTGGTATTTTTTCAATTTTCTAAGGGTGCTAGGGAAGAATAAAAAGAGTGTATAAAAGTTGTTACAAAATTATTAAATAGTTTAACAACATACAAAAGCTACTTGCGACCATATACACTACAATAAAGTTACTTAAACATTAATTTATCACTCAAGGTAACACACAATCCGTAAATAAGGATTACCTCAGTCAAAATGATAATTAATATGATCTACTCTCACAATAACGACAAAAGAATAAATATGCAGAACATCCAAAACACTACTCACTTGTTACTCATATAAAATTGAAACATTAAGCACTAGCCTCGATTAAATTCACTATGCTTAATATTTAACTATCTAATTATATCAAAACCAGCTAATCTTTATGGGGAATAGAAGTGCCCTGAATTATTATATAATTTGCCATATTTAATTTTTTATTTTATTTAAAATTATTACTAGATAAAAGTATATATTTGTGTATTCTTATGTAGGTTTCTGATTGTACAACTGCATAATTACAATATTAAAACTTCAATAACAGCTAATAATATAATTTAATCTCCATCTATTTTCAGTTAAACCTACATAATAATACTTTAACGAAGCATATTACTGCTCGATTTCATAAAAGGTAACATTTGTGCATAATCATTTCTTTGTGTTTGTGGATAAAATTTGTTGACTTATTGTGCTCTCATAATTTTAAGGTCACTCGTACAATATTAAGAACAATAATAATTACACTCAAATAAATTATTTTCCTATTACTTAATAATGGCAACATAATTAGATCGTAACAAAAACATATTTCCATCAGGAACAGTGTCATGCTTCTAATATAAATCCACTGCAAGGGATACGGAAAATACTCATGGATTACTAAAACATAATCAAATTAAAACGAAAAAACGATTTCATCTTGAAATTAATTATAAACCCAACATTGAACTATCTATCAATACATCTTTTGTATTTGTACTACTTGTTTATTTTGTAGAACCGCTGCACGAAATCTGTAAGATTAAATACCTGACCGGGACCAACTCCAAAGTCCATGTTGATGTACTCATCTAGATTATGTGTAGAAGCTGAAAACAAAACTTAATATCAGTCAACTGTTTTACTATAATTAATTGATTTTTGTTCCTATAAAAGGGCTACAAAATAGCACTAAACCAGTATTAAAATTAGGTAGATGACACTGGCATTCCGTATATGATTACTCTGAGAAGAAATACCAACATTAAGTTAAATCAGTCTCTATACTAACTTTACTTAATTCATAGAGTGTTCAAACTCACTATATGTTTTCTATTGAGTCTCATATATCAACAGAAAAGATGTTAAACACCAGATAAAGTAAAATATAATACTATGGGAGAAAAAACCATAAAATAAATTAATTCTATAGTAGTATTATAAAGAAAGTTAAAATTAAATGAGTCATAACCTTGTAATTAACTAATGCATGCTAACACTAACTATTACTAACTTATCTTTTGATCAAATCAATAACTACATAGCATAATAATGTCTAGACTTTTAGTGCTTAAAAGGTTAAACTATGAACTCGTTTCGAAACCTAATCTATTAAATGTGGTAAAGAAATACTCAATATATAGAATCTTTTATTCATATGTAATATAAAAGATAGTAATATTCTATTGAAATATTCAGCACTAACATTATTCTAGTTTGTGCTTCTACAGTACAATAAGTGACCCAGTGACCTATTTCTCAACTTCCAACAAAACAGTACCTACAGCAAGAACAAAGAAAAATATAACAAAAGTATGTATTGTGAATACTACATTTGTTACATTACTTAAGTGAGTGGATTAAGCTATTGGCTCAAAGCCAGCAATAGAAGCCAAAACTCATTTAACATGAAAACATTCAGATGCTAATAGGATCATTTGTAAAACATGTGAGTCCTCAGAAATATTTTGCCAAAATGAAGGTCAAATTCTGAATCTTTATTAATTGAATATGGTACTCACTTGATGTACATATTGCTGGGTATGGAGGTGGTGGTTTGATCCATGAACCGTCCGGTCTTTTCATGTGACGTCGGTCTGATGCAAAGTTCTGCAAGAACAACTTAGCAGGCACTACACGGAAGAATCTGAAAATATAAATATTTTATTGATATTCATACAGGTCATTCCTTTTTAACTTTGATGATGATTTATCATAGTATTATACAGTTATATGATATTGTTTGTTATCGTTACCTGTGAAAATCTGACTTGAGCACTTGATCTGTACGAAATGTCTCTGTGACATATTTGTGGAAAAATGTCGGGAACGGCAATTCAGAGTCCAGATCATAAACAAGGCAAGTTTTGCTGTCCCAGGAATACAGAAATATTACATGATAATCCTGAAATTGAAATGTATTGGTTGTAGAAACAAACAATTCTAAATATGCTAATCATGCTCTCATTTTACTTTATATAAAGAGATAAAGATAATAAGATTATTAGATCATAATTAAAGTATGTTGTTGAAACTACTTCAATGAAAAGCTAAGCTGGTATTATAATGAACATGAAGGAATTAATGAAAGGAAGGTTGGTCACAAATTATGTATGAATAAATTGGAAGAAATTCACATTCTCTGAACAATAAAACTTATTAAGTACATAATAGCGTGACATAATTTCGGTACACACCCATATGACGAGACGATCCTCCTCGCGCCCAGCCCTTTGTTTCCACAAAGGCACCGTACGACAAGGGTTGGATATAAAAACAATGTAACATCTATCCAATTCCTCAGGAATTCTCAATGATACATCTTGACACAGTTTCCAGACGTTTTCCTCGCTGCAGAAAAGAACACAACAAAGGCACGGTTATTGAATATTTTCATTATACTGTGGAACTGTAGAAAAATTGAAAAACACTTGCCAATAACAAGACACATGTGAGCACTCATCCCGTTTAGGAAACAACTGTTTAAGTGTTTTGTCATTCTTTTTATTATTTTCGTTGCTACTCATATTATGAACTTGTGCATTGACCGACATTTTGACACTTTGACAGTTCACTGTTTTTTGATCAAGCTATCAAAGACAAAGAGTGCAATGAAGTTAGCAGATAGCTTGAAAACCTTAGACAAAGGTTTTAACTTTTTTTATATGATTTTATGTCTATGTTGAGAACTGATAATATCTGAGCTGTGTTGCCAATCACCATAAAATCATAATTATGGTTTGTGGTTGGTGTTGATTCTGAAGTTCCAAATGCAAAGTATAGTTCAGCAATAATGTTGTTGTTGTGGTTGTGGGACTTGGGGTTCAATTTACAACATCCCAGAACCTGGATTTCTATTGGAATTATAATAACAGTTCAATACATAAACATTGAGTTTTCATTATTTTGTCAGAATGTTCTGTAATTTTTGAAAATTTATACATTGAAATATTAACTTTATACCGCTGGAACGCTAAAAATATAGATTTTTGTGTAAACTAGTGCGATTTTGAGTGTAAACTTTTAAGATGAGTATTATTATACTACTACCTTAGTCCATTTTTGGTCTAGTATCTTTCCCACTAGTCCTTTCCATCATTGTACTACAAGCCACACACAAGACAATCGGCGAAGCATCACCGATTCATGGTAGATGTCCCACCCACTCACACGCATGAAGCGCTTTGCTTCAAGCTTCCTTGTGCGTATTGCTAAGGAGTGGAATTCTTTGCGATAGTCTGTATTTCCTAAAGGGTTGCTTATGGGACGACGTGCTCCATCATAGACCGCATCATCGCTTACCACCAGGCAAAATATGGGAAAAAGTCGGCTCAACAAATATAAAAAAAAAACTTTGATCTGTTCTATAACCTAATAGTAGTAACCCGAGATTGTAATCTAATTACAAATCACTCTGTATAAGGACGTTGATAAAAAGGCGGACATAATATCTTGAAACAACGATTCTGACACCTGGCTGTTATAGATTTACACGCAGAATATACACACAGACAAAGGCACGAAGGACATCTGTCGCGTGACATGGTCCGTCACTAGGGTGCGTCGACATCTGGCGAATGCGTAGCTCGCGAGCGGTTCGCGAGCATTCGCCATATGTGAACGCACCCCAACTCTTCATACATAACGGTGTTACACACGTACATACAAGGATGATAAAAAAAGTTCGTGTGAATTTCTTTTTTCAAGTCATAGACAAGTAGCTGTACAGAGCTTAAAAGACCGTAAATCAAGTTGAACAGTAGTTTAAGAAATTAGAAGCGTCATTTGACATTGCTTGTGGTTGCGTGGCCAGCTGGCTGAGGCTTTGTTATAGCCAGCGGTATCTTTTAGTTGTTTTCAAAGTTTCTTTCGTATTGGTAAGAGGGTAGGGCGGTGCGTTGTCCTAGGTTTCGGCCGGACTAGCGTATCGTCCGGTCTTCCGTAGTGTTATTATAACTATCAATTAGATAATTGCGACATTCGACAAGTCCAACCTTGCTGGCGTTAAGTAATTAATTATACAAGATGACCCGTAAGTACAGTGACACACTTATAAATAATAATGTTTACAAAATGTAAAATACCACAGTGATCATCAAATACAAGGCAAATCTGATGCATTAGTCCTGGAAGGACAAATTCCATGGAACATTCTAGATGGAACGTTCTTACGTTATATCCATGACACGAGTCGTATTTGGGTGACGCTACGCTTTGTGATGAAAATTGATTATATCCTCTCTATTGAACCATTATTTTACATGTTTTTATGACTTATCGCGTGTTAATAATGATGTTATGGTATTCTTTTGTTGTAAAATAACATACCATGGTATTATGAACGTGCACACTTGATGATTATTTATAAACAACATGTGTTGATTTCGTTACAGGTGGAAACCAGAGAGATTTGGCTCGCGCCAAGAACCAAAAGAAACAACAAGAAATGCAAAAGAAAAAGAATGCTAGTGAAAAGACAGGCATGTCTTTACAAGAAAGGAAACATAGGTGGGTTGTATTCTCTTTATAACCTTTGAGCCATTCATAATAAATTACATCATCAGCATCACCAAATCTGCCATTCAATTATTTTCAATGACATAGCAGTTCAAGTATGTACTTATGCAAACAATGCTGCAAATAGAATCAGCACAGCAACCAGCATGGTATTATTTATTTTTAATGGTATTTTTGGTGGAGTTGCCAGAGTAATTTAATGTCCTACCATGGTAACTTATTATTTTATATTAAGTAATTAATGTATTTTTACTAATAATACTAAATTGCTGCTGCAGCTATCAAGTAGTAGTTTTTGGTAGAATTGGTAGAAACTAGGGAGCACTGTTTACTATGTCTCACATAAATAAATTTGTTTAGCTTACATCTAGTTATGCTAGATTACTATGTAAAAGTACCTGCATTTGTCCTTTTTGAATTTACTTCAATGTGATCAGCATTAATTCTTCTAAATTGGTTGCCGTTGACTATTACCACTTACATACTATTTATTAAACCGTCAAACACCAAGCGGTCACCGGTGACCGCGACCTATTGTTCTTTAATTGTGTCTATAAAACCGGTACTCGACGAGTTAATACCTTCCATAAGCTTCATTTTATTAGTTCTACCATTCATTTTAATGTGTGGCTTTATACTTTATTACAGGGATGCTGAATTAATGAGAGAAAAGCAACGAAAAAAAGAAGAACAGTTAGCAGCAAGTATGCATAACCAAAAACAAACTGCAAATTAAATATTCAGGCAAAAACATGAAGGTTTTTTGACTGCTCCTCATTATGTTTAATCACATAAAATTTTGAGCTTGTCAGCGGTGAGCCGAACTTGGATATGTGATTGAAGCACTCCATAAAATTAGAAAAACATTAAAATCTTGTGTTTAACAGAGCCTAATTTAATTATAATCCCAAATAATGAAGATTTTATTATGTTAAATGTTATAATAGTTGGGAGCCTAGGATTTGAATATGTATGATCTGAAGAAGAAAAGTCGTTACTGTGCCTGATCTGGCACAGTTGGCATGACAAATTGGTTAACAGATTTGTCACAAGAAGTCTTAGCATTTATGCAAATCTTAATGTTAATTTTGACTGAATAGGTTTGTATGTATACTCAACTACCCATTTTTGTACAATAAAATCTTAAAAGTACAACTGTGTTCTGTTTTGTCATTGGCACATATTTCCTCTCAATAAATGTGAAACTGAATGGCTCTGGCGTGCCACGACACTCGGGTAGCACTTGTAGTGTTGTGTAATTATTGCACAGTATGGTTTTGTGGCAGTCAAGTCAAAAAACACTTGACCACTAATGTAATAAGTTAACAAGTGTTCAAATAAATGGTTCTCGTAAAATGATTGCATCACTTATAATAATTGGGAAAGATGTGAAGTTTTATTTGCAAGTCCATAGTATTTGTGTTGGTAAAATAAACATTAGATTACATTTGTAGTGTACATTACGTTTCAATAGGTACTTTAGCCAACAGTACCTGCTCTTGATTGATTTGGTATGTGATTGTTTCATAGTTATTGTAATGTAATGGGTAATGTATTAACATTCATAAGAAATAAAAAAAACTGGAAATGATAAAAAATGTGTAATTTAATAATATGTATGCAGAAACAATTTTTCATTTATTTGGTAGGCATTATAAGATAGAGAGAAAATTCATAATTATCACACTTATGTTGGTACATATATGTACAGTGGCGTAATGACTTGATCTGTGGTAAATACTAAATATAATTGTATTTTGATTGCAGTTAATTTGATCTGAGTATTTGGCCTTTTCAAGCTTATCTACAGATGACAATTATTTATTACGCCACTGTTTTTCTTTCAATTTTCTTCTACCTACATTTTAAACAGAAGGGAAAATCGAATATTAGTTGTTTGTTAACTAATGTATCGATAAGTACTAGTAACTATTAGACGAAAGATTAAACATCAGGTATATGTATATTATTAAGTAATTCGACGCTATTAATGACTAGTGGGAATGATAATTATTTTGTATAAATTATAATTACTGGTAGCTCATTTTAAATGGCTCGAGAAAATTGCACGTAAATAAATACGTATATATTTTGTTATAATACTACGCCTTATACATATTTGCAATACGTATACAAATTAATACCAAGTTTATTACTTCTCATAGCTGTTGACAGTGTGCTTATAATAAAATTAAAACAATACCTATTTATTATGAATAAATTTTGTAACACCACACCATAGTTGCATTATTCGAATATTCATGTAAAACAAAACTAACACAAGTGACATTAACACACCAACAACAAAATCTTCACACATAAAAATAATACATCTATAAAATCTTGTCTTTCAGAAACAAACTTGCAATAAAATTGAGTACTTTTTTGATGAACAAACAAAATTATTTTGTACCTATTTTCACTTTCATCAAATATAGACAACATTTTACAGCCAGGCAAAACAAAATTATCACCACTAACCGTTCTATTATGCATTTTGAATCAGTCCTTTACTTAAAACAGCTGTAGAAATTCATATTCAAAAAAGTAATTTGGTAATTTCTTTAGCTTCCCTTTGCTATTAAATATCAGACTAACTAGCTGAGCTAGGTAACAATGCTAGTAATATTGTAATAATAACACTAATGAGTAGTATGGAAGATAGTTTGTTCTATTATACATGCCCGTTTGTTAGGCATTTCTTTTCAAACTCCTCTCGTTGTCTGTACAGTTCTGTGACCAGATCTTTGATGAAAGGATGATCAAATTTCCCTTCAGTGGCAGTGAAGAACTCCTGCAACTTCTTTGGTGCATTTTCACGTTTTTCATACTCAAATGCTTGCAAAATCATGTCATAGCGATCCAAGTCTTTGGCGAATTTAGCCTCCGGTGATGTTTGGTTTTCATATTCCTGAAACATTAAATGATTTGGTTTTAAAGGTAGCTGCATGCTTTTTTTATGGTCTGTGGAATGAAGATACATTTTTTTTTTAAACTAACCCATTAGTGTTTTCTCCTGAGTCGTGGGTGCGTTTACAAACATACAATTTCACATACACACGACGCCCAGACCCAAGCTACAATTTGTGGATCACACAGAGTTGTTACGTACGGGAATCTAACCCGCGACACGTTGCTAGGCAGCCGGTTGCCCAGCCACCGCACCAACCGTGCAGTCATGTCAAAATACAATGATTTAGCTATGAAAGTAGATTAAGATGAGTTTTAGGTCAAAGCTTATCTGAGATATAGAAATGATTTTTTTACAATGCCGGAGATAGTTACTAGCTAATGTGTAGTGCATACTGGTATCAGTCAATTTAGAAATATAGCGACAGAAGCCAAAAGTTAGTTTTAATTTTTATTACAATTATTTATTGTCTAACTGAATAATCTAATTTACTAGTCACAGTAGTAGCAGTTTTTTACATTTATAGATAAAAATAACACACTGGCTACAAATGGTAAGTAACACAAGTTAATTATTGGCCTTCAAACGGATCATTGATAACAAATTTAATACTTCTAAATGTATATTTAGTTGGATATAAACGGAAGACTACCTCGTTGGCCAAATGGTCGCAAGTGCGACTGCCGGGCAAGGGGTCTCGGGTTCGATTCCCGGATCAGGCAAAGTATTACTGGTTTTTTTAAATCTCAGTAGTAGCATGGAGTCTGGAATTGTGCCCAGTATATGGCAATAGGCTCACTCCTTATTACATGTGACTTATAACATAAATAGTGAAAAGAGGGTGTTACAAAGTACAGTGGCATTAGTGCCGTAATGTGCACCTCTGCCTACCCCTCTGGAGATAAAAAGCGTGGTGTTGTGTATGTATAAAAGAAGGAATTTCAGACCTTTTTGCAGTGAGGTAAAAAACCTTCTGCAGACAACTTTATCAGAATGATTAAGATATTTGAATCTTATCTAATCAGACATTGAATCATACCTATGAACACTGCAATACTGCACTTATTGCAAAATTATTTGTTTGAAAAATGCCTTTATCTTTTCCAATGAGAGATAATATTATATGATTTAAGAATTTTTACTACTTTTAAGTGTTTTTTTTTTATAAATGAAAGCACATCCTGTCAGTTGCATTGGAAATGATAATTTGTACCATTTAAGTAAATGTTTAATTACTAACTTTGCCCATACCTTCGCACACATTAAATTCGGAGTTATTATACATATTATGTATAAAACTATTATTTTAAAGATGCCTCTAGAATTACTGTATCAATTAAAAAAACACCACCATAATCTGTTCCATCATTTTAAAGACTTATGCATACAGACACACAGATTGTGGAAAATAAGTTTACATATGTAGCAATATTGTATCAAGATACTTACTTTGTAAAGATTGTACATTCTGTCACCAGCAATGCCAGTAAGTTCTGCTATTTCCTGCATAGCCGCATCTTCTCGTCGATGTTTCTCTTCAGGTGATACACCACAATGTGGTGTGAGGTCTCCAACTATACATTCGGCTAAATCATGGACAAGAGCTGAAATAATAAGAAATTAATCAAGTAAGACAGTTTACGAGTTGTAGATTAGAAACAAAGTAATGATGAATACTGGCAGTGTTTTAAATTTATTGCTTAAAGATTTGTCTCTTAGATGCAATATCGCCTCTTGTTGTAGAGGTTGATGAATAACATTTTACCTATTTGGAGACATCTGAACCTGTCCAGATTGGTAGGATTGTTCTCATCTGTGAGCAGGAAGGTCATCAAACCCATGCGGTACATGTGCCCAGCAATGGACTCACATTCATTTATATCACAAAGCACCCAGCCAGTCCTTTTAACATGCTGAAAACGATAATTGTCAATTTCTAATAAGAGACTATTCTAATCAGTTTACATGGATAAAAAACGTTGTCAGCAGAAAATGTTTAATGAGTGAATAAAACGTATTCTTAAACTAATTTTAGTAGAACACAAATTACGCAAAAGTTTTTTATGAACCGTTAGATTCCGTACACCAAAAAGATATAACAGCTGGTAAGTATTGTTTAGGGAGCAATCGCGTCTATATCTAGTTACCTTTAATATACAATCAGGACTTACCTTCAAACGACCGACGAGTTCCAAAAATTCTAAGATTTTTGATTTTTCAATTGCTAAAGCCATTGTGCGCTTTTTTATTTAAAATATAATTTAACCTTGTAATAAATACTACTCGTATAATTGGTATAGTTAACGTCTAACGGTCTAGGCACTTACAATATAATATTTATTTTCCTTAGTAACGACCGTAACGCTTCGCGTGGTACTAAAACAGTAAAATAATAATTGATTTTATCTGCGTACACAGTAACCTTTATCAGTCAACTAAACTTCACATGTCACTGATGTCATTTCACATATTTTTAGAGATCGACAACGACAAGTTGTAACTTGACAAGGAGGAAGTCATCGTAATCGGAATGTTTTTTGTAAGTTTTGTTTTTTTGGAGAGTGAACAAGATCACCTTCTGTCTGTTTCGCAACTGATTTTTGTCGTTATAAAAATTAATGTCGAATGTCGAGACTACCCTTTTGTTTACATACTCCTCTTTTTTGACTCTGTGGTCTCAATTTGATAACTCGACTCAACACGCGCGAAGGTAGCCCGCGAAATTTAAATTTTCTTACATTTTTTTGCATTTTAATCAAAGATAAGGGTTAAAATAAATATTATGATGATAAAATATATTTGCGGTGTTGATGTGTATGTTGTTTCACAATAACCTAAATCATAAACATATCTCTCCGCAATTTAGAGAAATTGTAGTACTATGTACCTCTCATTTTAATATATCATTGAGTTTGATAGACCTTTTCTAAGGCCTATCCACGTTGCACCCAAGGACGTTAAAAGTCATATGCCAAGAAACCTAAAAAAATCAAAATTTCGCAAGCTACTTTGAAGCACCGGAAGCACCCACTTTAACCTGGTTTTATACAAGCGTTCTATTTATCAGATTCATTATCATTTATTCTTAAACTAAATAGGTTAAGAATAAATTATACATTAGGTACCTACTCTCTTGCTGGTGGTCAAAGATCTCCTCTTCTACATAAACTCCTCTTGTCTCGCCGCAACAAGGTCATTTCGCCCACCGTCTTCTAGGTCGGTCTCGACGGCGCCATCTATTCCAAGAAATCCGTTGAATTATTTACAACCCAATACTTTTAATTTGTAAGTTATAGTTGAAGGATAGCCTAGGTACGTACTATTAAAGATTATAAAAGGTTTGATAATAGAGGTGAAAACATATGGCAACAAAATATAGGTTACGACTTAGGTACGACCTGACTGACTAGTTTCTACTAGTAGGTTAGGGACACGGTACACCTATGTGTAAGGAAATGTTTTTATCCCGGTAATGCGCGAAGTAATTTATTCACCCATGACTCAAGTTTCGCAGTTTCTCCCTTCACCTGACGATGAAACCTCAGGACACCGTATGCAATGTTAATAAGGTTCAGTTTGATTAATATGATCAATGGACAGACCAGCGAATCGTACTATGAATCGTAATGGAGCCCGATACCGCTACGTAGTAAATTTAAATTCTATCTCTGTTTCGAGCGGCCAGTGAAAATGTGGGAGCCCTCGGTGCCGGTCCTTCAATTAGATTTAGCTTCAAAATGAGCGTTCCAGACAGTTTAAAGTTCAACAAAGTTTTGTTCGATGTGTGGAAAGTTGGTTTTGCTCTCAGTGAGTCTGGTGTTTGTTGCCAGGAAGTGAAGTTGGAATGATTCCGTTGCTGTTTGCTCTTTGTACAGGTTCGTGAGTAGTATGTTAACCACGTTCTAGAGAAGCCATTAGTGAATTTAGACCATTTTGGTTCCCGTTTGATTTTTGGTAGGTTTTTTAGTGCGATTCTTTGTGGAATTTTATCTGTACCTACCTAAGCATGGTAGTGTTAAGTTTTGGAATGGTGGGTAATATGATTTGCTCGCTCACAATTTAAAACGTTACCGGTGTATAGACGTCGCGGAGAACCTAACGGGTAACCGGGGAGAAGGTACGGGGTGGTTTTTAGTCAGTAAGAGTACACACTAAGTCATTCGATGATTTTCCCCCTTAAAAAAAACCCGTGTATAGACTCAGAATGTCAGAAATAGGTCAGAGTGGATTTGAAAATTTTACACGAAAAAGATTTGCAATTAAGTTATTTAAACAAAAACATACGTGTACTTTTTAGTACCTATCTACTTTCCAAAATTAGGGACCTACCTACCTTATCTACTCGCACATCCAACCAGCAAACCTAAGGTGGATTCGAAGACCACGCAACGGCATACCGATTGGTTTTCTTGTTTTTGGGATTCACAGTGTAAATGCCTAAGAACACCTAGGTAAGTATTTATTTCCTGATCCATGTATCTTCGGAATGAAAAAAATATGTCAAAACGCATTTTTCTTAAAAGTAAATTCTATAGTTATCTAAAGTTCCGAAGGTTCCCTTGGGTTCCGTTGATAAAAGTAACATGAACGTTCCAAGTCCCAATCAAACAATGAATATTAATTGTTTGACGCTATTCAACTTTCACAGTGTTTGTAGGTGAAGTAAGTAAATGTTCAAGCATTCATAGAATGTTATAGCAAAGATAACAATCTATATCCTCGAGACCATTATGGTGAGGCAGACTTATATTAAATTAACGAAGCAACTCAACACGAATTTTGAATAATTGATTACAAGTTCGTGTTTTCGAAGATAGATTGGTCACTTGGCAAAATGTGACAAATATTTACGTTCATGTTCCTCTCAGCAGATGTGTTTAATGTGCGACATATGGATTAGATACATACCTTCATAAATTAAGAAAAAAGAGACCCAAGCATTGGAAGCAGCTAAGGATAAACTGATCATGTTCATTTTAATTTCATTTCCCTAATGCGAAATAAAACCAATATCGATCCACGTTGAAGTTATGACTAAACTTCAGATCATTGAGTTTTTCAAATTATTATCCTCCGGAGAAATTCAGTTTCGATAAAACAGCAAATCTTTTACAAACTTTATTAGGTTAAAAATGTAGAAGCGTAGAAAAGTTCTCTCTCGTTACAAAATGAAGATAAAATTGTTATTTTTATTTCTCATATTGCTACAGTCTTGTAGAAGATTACACATACATACATATAGTCAGCCAGTATGTGTATGTGTACTAATAAACACAACGCTGGAAAAAGAGAAACAGTTTTATGTAAGGATAGGCTAGCGTGACAAACAAAAAATGAATTAACTAAGTACTTGTTTTTTAGATCAAAATTACGCTCTATAAGGGGTACCTAAGGTATAAATTCAAGATTCATGTGACAGAGAATTTTGAAAAACCTGTCAATAATATCTACTTTGGAATGAATCCCTATAAATAATTAACCTCATGTTCTACGTTAGGTACGTGCCTACTACATAGGGACGTAGGAATTGCTCTCATAGTGTGATCATCATCAGACAGCGTTTCTTATGCAATAATGAATGAAGATTAATGATGTTTTTTAAGTAAAGACTGCAAACTATTGTCTCATTGGTTTATCTTCGTGATGACTATGTTTTTTAAACCGTTGTAGCGTTATTGTCACTCGCTTGCCTCGACCTCGATAATTCGAAGCGAAAATCTTGTTCCTTAGAGAGAACCGGTACCTTCCTTAGCGTTACCTATTGTAGGCCGTAATCGTGCCATTGATACAGTTACAATGTGGTTATTATCTGATTGCCTTAAAGTAAGTATCTATGTACCTTGTATAGTACGATACTAAAACATAGGGTCTAAAGTCTAAATTCTATTCTGAAGTAACAAGGATTTTTAATTGTTGAAACTCAGATTTTATGTATGTATGTGCCTAAGAAGTGTGCTTATAGGCACTTAATCGATTAAATTAGAAAATATGTGACATTCAGAAATTAGCAGTTTCTTTAAAATCTACTTGAAGATAACTTCTGCAGTACCTAGGTATCTGCAAGACGTCCTCTTCTGAACATTAGCTCCTCCAAACAATTCCAATCCAATCCTCCCTCTCTCCACATCCCCAAATCCTGAATCCTCAAATTCATAACCCGCAAACAGTTGGTAACGCACTCGTAACTTCTATGGTGTTGTCCGTGGGCGGCATAGATTGCTTACCATCAGGTAACCTGTCTGCTCAATTGCCGTTCTGCTCTTAAACATATCTTAAAAAAAACCAGATTTGGTTGTCATTTATGTATTTTATGTTAATACATTATTTTTAATGAATGAATCTTGCAGTTGTGTCGGCGGTGAACTGGGATGCGCCGCCACAGTATGACCCCGTATGGCTGGCTAGTGTGCAACTGTACCCACCTGCTCCTGCTCTTAATGACACCCGTTTTTGGGGTTCCGGATGGGTCAACGATGCTGATGTTGAATTCAGACTGTTTACAAGGTGAGACCTTTTACCTGAGTAAAAGAAATACACATTATTTATTTGTATTAGGCTTCGCTATTGCTTTAGTGTTCAAAAAGGAAACTACAAAATTAGGTCTTAGGTTTCATCAGTTCGATCTCAGGATCAGGTAAAGAAAGAAAGAAGAAAGAAATAAAAAGCATTTATTTGGCAAGAAGGCACACAAATACAAAGATTATAAGGTAGAGTTTGTAATCTTTTGGATCGTGATATTCTGAGTAAAGAGTTAACGTAAGTGGCATAAAGTGTATGTATTAACTAAAAGAAGTACTTAATTAATATCTAATCAAGATTTCCTATTCTACTGAAAGTTTGATACAAATCTTAATGACTATTAAGCAACTTCTTTTTCTCGAGTTCTTAGCATTAACGTTTACTAGTTCTATCTCGATTCGCAGGTTAAGTCGTAGAGCTTAATGAGGCTACTTAGTAAATCGAAAGTTTATGCAAAATCAAACCGAACTATAGAAATCTTAGGGGTTAAGATGGTATAACTCTGAATTACTTTAAAGAAACTGAGAGAACAGTGTTTAACTTTGTAGTTTCTCAACCGGTAACTAGAAAGTGCAAACTCTACGCGAACTGATTGTTTCAAATTCAATTGCTTACTCATATGTTTTAGTGATAATCCCGCTTACAGTTTGTACCTACATTGAATTAGGTATACGATTATTATGTCCTTGTAACATTTTTGAAGTTGGTATCTGCAATTAAGAATTTTGTAATGTACCTAATACCTATAGCAACAAATAACACATGTTTTTCCCCGTAAAGATAAGAAAGAAGTGCACTGTGTGTGTAGTACATTTTGGCTATAGCAGTAATGTTAAATTCATTGGTAGTAAGTACCTACAGTTTAATGCATGGTTATTGATATCTAGGTTTTCCGCAAACAGATAGGGAGAGAGCCTATTGCCACATGCGCAAGTACATACATATCACCTAAGTTTACATAGATAGTTAGTAGGTACATTTAAGATTAGATGCTATCTACATAGTTAGGCCATACCTACTAGATCTAATAATTTCGAAATACAAAGTACCATTATTTTGTCGAAACTGGTGTTCAGACCTTGTTTGTGATACGAAGCCGCGGAGAACGTAAAGGGACTGTGTCTCGAAGTGCATGAGTAGGAACGGGGTGTTAGTAAGAGTCTGACACTCCCTCCCGCCTCACCCAGGTGAGAGAAGTCATTCGACGAGTTTCCTCCCTTAAAAAAAGACCTTGTTTGTCATCTTGGCCCTAGATTAACGGTTGCCTAAAATTATTTACAAAAGTTAATGTTACCTAGGAACAACGTAGGTATCTAGGTTTTATAGATATGCCAAGCCCTTATCTCAGAATTAACGAAGTCTTAGAATTTTCGGAAAATTGACGGATAATATTTCTAGAATTGGCTACAAATTATATACAATTCTCAGATTTTCTGAGAATTGTATATAAATATTATGATTCTTGTAATTCGTTATTTTATATCTGACCATGTCTAGTCTAGACTTGTTTGTTTATATTTACAAACATAACTATTCATACATACAAGAACATAGGTTTCAAATATTTTGTTATCACAATATTACCAAAGAAGTCTGTTTTTCTTGAATAAATTCTTCAGAGATGTAAACCTGCTCTAATTCCAATCTACTAGGATTACTAGGAATCGGTAAAATAATATCTCTTTTCAATTCCTTCTTAGCAGGCGTCATAATTCACAAAAACACTTTTTTTTTTAAATAAAACCATTAAATCGAGGTAAACGTTAAAAGTTTCCAAAAAACACGCGTGTGTCCGCTTTAAAAAAACGTTTTCGCTATAAAGGAAAAATTGTAAAGCATAATTAAAATTCGCAATGCGTTCTTTCCAACATATTTTGCTATCGTTGGGTATGACAAAAATTTTAACGCCACCTTTTTGGTACAGTATGCTATTGTTTCGTGTCGCATGTAATGTGTAGTAAGAGTCATATGACCAAAATTGTATTTAAATGGGCTATTGTGTACAAGCTGTGTGTCTATTGATAGTGTGCTTAGAGAAATCTATTTGGAGTATCTAAGTACAGTTTTAATGGCAGATCAGATACGACTTACTAGAACTCTTTGGCTGAATATTCTAGATCTTAATTATTAGTTATTTAAAATATTTTATAATCATATAAAGTTGTGTGATAACGATTACGTAGTCCTTAGGACTATAAATGAGCGGGATACAAAAAGCTGAATCGAATTGGGCAGGATTTTTTCATCTCACACTTGATTCTCTTGATGAAACATAATATTATCTCGTATACAATAAAATTCTAAAGTTTAGGATTTTATTTTAAGTTTAGAATCTTACTTGTAACATTGCTCTTTTAAATGCTTATTTATAACGTTTGTTTTTCCAGGCGAAACCCGTTCGATTTTCAAGTGCTAACAACGAATGACTCTGCATCTCTACACCAATCAAATTTCGACTTTAGCAAAAAAGTTAAAGTGCTTACTCATGGTTGGCTAAACCATGGGTACAGTCCTATGCCAGAGTCTATCAAAGAAGGTTGGTATTTATAGTTTTAAAGGATTATTGTTTCCAGTTCCATTCCCTTTTACGAAGAATTGTGAATAAGCTTGATAACGCAGCCCTATGAAACTAATGGTTCAATATCAAATTTCAATTTCAAAATTCTGTGAAATTAAAAAAGTTTATGTTTGGCAGTAGTTCGGTTCAATTTTCTAAACTAAATACCTATATGAGTAGTGAAAAGTTGGAGAGCTAACCATTACCCAATCGAAATAAACACTAGCCAGCTCTTCATGTAAGAAAACTTTTGTAACACACGAGCACACCGCACCCTAAGCTCCTACGTAACAGGAGCTGCAATGGTTGTAGGCGATTACTCCGGCTGTATCTGCATAATGAGATCTTGAAATCCATCACATCGATGCCAGACTGAATTTCGAACGAGGTCAATGTATCTTGATTCTCTGGCGTTTCCACCTAAGCTGCGTAGTAAGAGCGAAAATATTTGGAAATTGTGATGCCTAAATATGAATCAAAACCAACTAATTCTAGGACGTTTTATCGTTCATTTTATTTCGGCATTGATTAACCTTTCGACTATTTCTGATATTAACTAAGCTCTCACTCATTAGGTACCGTCGTCAGATCTCAGTTTTTTTATAGCTATTCAACAGAGTACTTCCTCCCAACGGTTTACGGCAGCGTTTTACTACTTCGTCGGTCCTCTTAAAAACCACTATAACTTTTCATTGTCCATAACTTTTTACCCTTTCTTTGGATGACCAAGGAACTCCGGGTTTCATAATCTTCTTAAAAGTTATGTTTTATTGTTTTTGTTTTTCAGCTTACCTTAATGTGAGCGACCTCAACATCATTGTGGTGGATTGGGGTGTCGCAGCTAACGTTAATTATATCTTGGCCAGTTACAACGTGGCCTCCGTTGGCCGTCTTCTCACGGAGTTCCTTAACTTTCTCATTGAAGAGGGCGTTTCAATGGATGATGTCCATCTTATCGGCCACAGCTTGGGAGCTCATGTAGTAGGCATAGCTGGAGCTTACATCAAGAAGGGACCTATTGATACTATTACTGGTGAGTGTGTTTTTATTTGTGTTTATGACGCATCGAATAGTGAATATCGAGGTATCATAATTTCATCTGTTTTTAAACAGAAACGATTTAATTACAAGTACTAGTGTGAATTATTATGTTTTGTATTCTGTTAAAACATCAGCTGTCAAGACTTTCTAGCGAGCAAGACTGCACGTTTGTGGCGTCAATCAATGTCTACTAGAGAGAACTCGACTTCATACTCAATTGCTTTCAAGAAACTCAAGTTTTTTAAACTCTGGTCTAAGTCTTCACTATGTAAAGATCTTTATCAGCAAAACGGTGTTTTGGAACTGAAACTTTAGTGTAATTAGGTAATGATATAATACCTAGTAGATACTGCTGAAAGACAAAATGGTCAAAATTTTCACAGACAAATGTATTGGCTACCTCCATACGTTATTCTCGAATAAAACCGTCATGACCTTTCAAAACCTGCATATGATACGCATTTGACCCAAATCTCTTTATTCAAGCAGGACATAATAAATTGCGTCTTAATTACGTGCTTATGGCAAATAATTTGGCAATTTTAACTCCCCATTCTGCGTTGAATACCGAGGTGTTTACGTAACCAATTCTGTTAGCTTTTATAACAAAACCGCTGCAAATTAGCTTCTATTGTTTGTTAAACTCTAGCGGTTGCTGCGAAGACCTACTGTGTTGTTTGCTAATTTTACGCATGGCACATTATCGTTTGAATATAACGTGGAACTAAAATTAAATGTTATTGTTTAGGAAGTTTTAAGTGCCAAGTTTTGGGGTAAGTTCAATTTTGCGTGTACGTGAAGTGAAGGACTGCCTCATTGGCCAAGTGGTCGCAAGTGCGACTGCCGGGCAAGGGGTCTCGGGTTCGATTCCCGGGTCGGGCAAAGTATTACTGGGGTTTTTTAAAAATCTCAGTAGTAGCACGGAGTCTGGAAATGTGCCCGGTATATGGCAATAGGCTCACCCCCTATTACATGGGACTCATAACATAAATAGTGAAAAGTGGGTGTTACTTCTATGTGCACCTCTGCCTACCCCTTCGGGGATAAAAGGCGTGATGTTATGTTATGTTGTTATGTGAAGTGAAGGATGTGTGTGTAATCAAATGTGTGTATGACGAACTTTTAGGTAAATATGGAATACTAGCTTCTGCCAGCGGCTTGCTCGTGCCCTCGTGGCGTAAAAAGTAGCCTATGTTAACGATACCTTTAGCCAGTTTGATTGAGTAACAAAAAAGAGACAAACTCACAAAGTTTCGCATTTAAAATATTAATAAGATTTTATTTGTAACAGGCACCTGAAGTTTGGATGATTTGAAAAGTTCTACTAATTACAAACATTTTAAATGAACCAGACCATAACCTACCGCTGACTCAAATTTCATCACGATCCCTTCAGTTGTTTTGAATAATTGAGTAGCAAATATACACAAACGTATTTATAATCCTTACTAATATTAAGTATAAATCGGAAAGTGAGTTTGTTTGTTTGTTCCGCTTTCACGCCGTAACTACTAAACCGATTGCTTTGAGTTTTTGCAGACGTAAAGCTAGAAGTCCGGATTAAATAATTGGGTACTTTTTATCCCGGAAAAATTTGATATTCCCGAGGAAAAACAAAAGTATTGGTATATGTCACATAGGCTACTTTTTATCCTTTTGTGACGCGAGCGAAGCCGCGGGTAAAAGCTAGTAATTAATAAGATAAAATGTTATGGATAAATCGAATTGTTTTCTTTAGGTTTGGATCCAGCGTTGCCGTTATTTACGCTTGGTAACAAGGACGCTCGGTTGGACAAACACGACGCTCGTCACGTGGAGGTCATACACACTTGTGGAGGTTACCTCGGGTTCGCGTCTCCTCTTGGTCATATTGACTTCTATCCGAATGGAGGCACTCGACAGCCTGGCTGTGGGACTGACTTTAGAGGTATGTTGAAATTTCTTTAATTTCACAAAGAGTGAGTAGAAATGTGTGAAGTCAGTACATAAAGTTGTCTAGGGACGTCGTTTTTATAAATATTCATTTTATTATTTTGTGAGGGTGAAGATCTATCATAACTTTTGGGAATATTCAGGTATTATTATCATTGATCGCGTTATGTCTATCTCAATGGGTAGTGTAGTTAGTATTTATGTAGCAAGGAGCGAACTATTCCCAAAATCAGGGGCGTAGCTAGCGCCGTATCTGCCGTATCAATTATACGGGGCCCCAGGACTACAGGGGCCCCAACGTGCTTAAATAAAAATTAATAAAAACTTCTCAATTTTTTATCTATTTCAGTAATCACAAAAGTAAAAATAAATGATTTTTTCCCGCGTAGTATGCGTTCAAAGGTTGGCAGAAACTTAAGAAAATCTAAAAGTAATTAAGATACGCTATTTAGGACATAGGGAGTTGCCTGAAAAGATTTTCTATTTTTACACAAATTATAAGTTTTTATGTAAAAAGAATCTCCTGTGAGAAATATTTAAGGGCCCCTGAACAAATTTTTATACGGTGCCCCCCCAAGGCATGCTACGCAACTGCCCAAAATAAGGGCAAAATGCTAGGACATTCGTTACATGACGGTAAGATCATATTAATATATCTCTCTCATCTAACTGGTGAATGAAAAATAGAACACTCTTATGTTTTTATAATAACTATCGTAAGACATACTGAATTAACTAAAAGACGGTTTACTCACGAAAATATACTGAGAAAAGCTCTACTACTGGGACGTCACCGTGACGGCGTACGCTGCTGATGAGGAAGAGTCCCTCTGTGACTCGAAACTAGTAGAGCTTTTCTCAGTATATTTATGTGAGAAAACCGTTATTTTTAGTTAACACACTCTTAGCCCACTCAATGATGAAAAAGGAATAGTGATGATGAATGTATATCCAAACGAAGTATTCAAAAATAGAAGCAATGTAGGCAAATGTCTTGAACGATCTGCCTACGCCTCATATCAGCCTGAAATTAGTTAGAATGAAATTATGATTGCCTACCTACATTATCTGCCCACAAACGGTTATTTTTACATCACATTTATTTACGTACCAAGCAGTTTTCTTACTTTCATTGCAATAATAAATCATTCATTCCCTTTGAAAACTAAATTAATTTATTCTTAATTCAAGAGAACTTTTTAATGAATTGCATTTTTATTTTAATGACTTTATTTCGGTATAAATAGGCATCGTTATTCATTTGTTTTTGTTTTTCAGTTGGTGCTAGTTGATTTATTTTTTATTCGAAATCGCAGTAAAAAGTTTTACAGTTAGATAGGTAGCTTTCGCTGTTGTTTACCTCTATAATAATGAGTTTCTATAAGTATAAAAACATGTGGGTAAATAATAAAAGTGTGGGAGAGCCATGCTTCGGCACGAATGGGCCGGCTCGACTTGAATGATCTACGGGTTTACAGAAAACCGACGTGAAATAACGCTTGCGTTGTGTTTCGTCGTATGTGTGAGGTTAACGAAAGCCCATTTACCTCCCTCCCCAATCTCCCCAATCTCCAAATCCCTAATAATCCTCAAATTCTTAATCCCCGGTCTCGGGTTCGACTCCCGGGTCTGGCAAAGTATTACTGGGTTTTTAAAAAATTCTCAGGAGTAGCACGGAGTCTTGAATTGAGCCCAGTATATGGCAATAAGCTCACCCCCTATTACATGGGACTCATAGCATAAATAGTGAAAAGTGGGTGTTACATTGTACAGTGGCATAATGTGCACCTCTGCCCCTCACCCTTTGGGGATAAAAGGCGTGATGCTATGTTCTTAATCCCCAAAAGGCCGGTAACGAACTTGTGGTGTTTCGGGTGTCTATGGGCGGCACTGATTGCTTACCATCAGGTGATCCGTATGGTCGTTTACCGGCTTATCCCATAAAAAAAATGTTTTCCAATTGTAAATGCATTGTTCAGTGTTGTTCTGTATCTGATGGAGTTCAGTTAAAAGTACATTATTTTGATGTATATCAATTACACTACTTATGACTTATGACATTCCCAATCCTTACTAATATTATAAATCGGAAAGTGAGTTTGTTTGTTTGTTCCGCTTTCACGCCGTAACTACTAAACCGATTGCTTTGAATTTTTGCAGACGTAAAGTTAGAAGTCCGGATTAAATAATAGGGTACTTTTTATCCCGGAAAAAATTGATATTCCCGAGGGAAAAAAAGCATTGGTATAGATGGCGCTGTATGTATTGGTATATGTCAGAGGCTACTTTTTATCTTTTTGTGACGCGACCGCGAGCAAAGCCGCGGGTAAAAGCTAGTTCTAAATACATAGAACAAACATTAAAATAAAGATTGATAGACACTATATCTAAGTACACATTTTTTGTTCAGTAAACAAAACTGTAAACCATATCTATCGTGATCTTTAGCACTTACTAAGGACCTAACTTTCTTCTTATACCCTATTCCATTAGGACTTAATATCAGGAGCAGCTGTGACTGTCTAGCTGTTCTAACGCTTTAGGAATTCGGTCAAGACTGGTCCTTAAAAGTTGATTAAACTAGTTAGAGCCAGTTAACTTCTGTTTTGAAGATCTATTCTATACAATAGTAGCTTGTATCACATTTATTGTTTCTAGAAGAGGATATTAGAGACTAATTTTGAGTTTTTAGTATAATTCAGTGATGGGATAATTTGATTGTGACTTGATAGACTGCCTCGTTGGCCAAGTGGTCGCATGTGTGATTGCCGGGCAAGTGGTCTCGGGTTCGATGCCCGTGTCGGGCAAAGTAAGACTGGGTTTTTAAAAAAATCTCAGTAGTAGCACGGAGTCTGGAATTGTGCTCGGTATAATTATGGCAATAGGCTCACCCCCTATTACATGGGGCTCATAACATAAATAGTGAAAAGTGGGTGTTACATTGTACCTCTAGTGGCATTAAGTGCCGTAATGTGCACCTCTGCTTACTATATAACCTTCTCGTGGATAAAAGGCGTGATGTTATGTTGGATAATTTGATACACACTTGTTGTTTACGTACTTTTCGTACGTCTGTTTACATGTTTATTTTTTGCTATATAAAGTAAACACTTCATATACAGGTAAACACCTGTTCCAATTTAAACATCCTATGTACTTATTACATTTCTTTGACCAGGTTTCTGTGCCCACAATCGTGCCCACATGTACTTCTCGGAGTCCATCATATCCGACGTGCCGTTCACAGCGGTCCGGTGTGAGAGCTACGACGAGTTGTACTACTCAGGATCTTGTAAGGGAACTGGAGAGACTCTTGTCATGGGCGGATTTGATATTCATTATGGGTAAGTTGAAGAGAAAGTCAGATTTATTTATTTACTCAAGCAAAAACTGAAGAATTAGCTTTTAGGATTGTTCAATTCTCGTAATTAAGCAACTGAGTAAGTCACGCTCGAGAACATCTAAAATTTAACTGTACCAAACTTGGTATTTGGTATTTATGTTCCAATTAATTAACATTTAGTTATGATTCCCAGGCGTTCATTACTTCGCGTAGAACATTCACTTCAGCGGCTCAAACAACAACAAAAGAAGGTTATTTTAAGTATTCATGAACAACGGTTAACTTTTCGTCGCTTCTATGTTTAATTAAACAAAGAACACTCGTTTGTTAAGCAGTAACAACATTAGCTTAAATCTTGGAGATCAACGTTCATTGTTTTGTTTTAGGAAGGATGGTGTGTACTACCTAAGGACAAACGCTGAGAAACCCTTCGCGCTGGGGGATGGTGACCCAACATGAATTACGATCAAATATTTATATCCCGCTTTGCCAACTTCGCTAATAAATTAAAATTTCAAAGAAATTATTACGGGGAGGTCGCCTTTTTTCGCGACCACCGCTGTCACGACTGTGTCGTTAAATAATTAAAATGGCCTCGGTGCTGAAAACTTGCTTTATGTATCACCTGTCTGTGCATTTTACTTTATGTTGTACAATAAATATAATGTAGCACCTACCTATTATAAACAGATTCCGACTAAAATAGTCATATACCTATATTTTTAGATCTAAAATCGTTAGTTTAATCTGCAGGCTCTCCATCGTACAAAATCTATTCGATGAAAATATTGAAATTTTTCTATGTGAACGAACTTTAATAGTCCGTTTTGCGCAGAAACAAAACGAGTGTTAAATTTTTTAATAAGTCCATTTGAGTGCTGTATTTTAGTCGATGTTTTAAAATATTAAATGGCGCTAAATAACGAGAGTTTCAATTTATATGGGAAGTTGATTTGGCTGGCAAATCTCCAAAAGTTGGGCAACAACAATTTGTTCTTTTGTAAATGAGAATTAAATCGAGTCCGGACGTTTATTTGTTGCATAATAAAGTGTAAATTTTATTGAGCTACGGACACTGGCACGTAACTAGTAGCTATTTATAATTTAAATTATTGATTGTACATTTAAATGTAAGTGAATTATTATTTTTGTATGTTTAGTAAGTTATTATTAAATGTAAGGGTAATAAAATTATTTTTCTTTTTATTTAAGCTACGCGATCTAATATCGTTTCATAAACTTTGTTGTATATTGATGTGTCTTCTGTTACGACATGGGAACTTTTCCAAAAACTATTGACTTCAAGATAAATCGTGTTTCTCCTGTAATATCATAAAAGGGACAAAGATATTTTCCAACTTTGTTCCGTATTGTTGTTAGAAATATTTTTCATTTTGCCCTGAGTGTGTATCGAAGTTCCTAGTATAGATATACTTACATACTATAATACCTCTCGTCCAATCTTAGACAATATTAAATTATTTATCGATAGTATTGAAATTCATTATAACTGTCTTATTAGTAGGTAACTTAAGCACTTCTTTTCAGAAAAACCTATAGGTCTAACTGTGTAAAGGTGAATAAAGATGATTCAGAATTACGACTGATAGGAAATTTACCATCATTCTCTTTAAGTAGGTACTCCCTAATTGTGACGCGGGGAACCTAACAACAATTTACGTTACCGGGGCTCCGGCTCGAAGTGCAGGAGAAGGAACGGAGTGGTTTTTAGTCATTAGACATCAAGAGTCTGACACTCCATCCCGCCACACCGCCACACAGTCATTTTATGATTTTCTTCCCTTAAAAAAACAACTCCCAAATTTTACAAATCGCTGAACTACGGAATACTTGTAATAACATCCTCGCTATCATTAGAAAGAAATTGCAAACAATTCAAGTACAAAGAATACCACAAAAGGAAACAAAAACAAACATACTGACCTAAGTATTTTTCAAATACAAACAAATGCAGCCATTGTTCTAAGAAATAAAATGGCTCCCTTCATGCTTCCCTTAAATTATATCGGTACGTTTTTGAGTCGTTTGCCAAGTTTTTGATAGTTAGTCTAGGAATTGTTGTCTAGAATATTTGTATTCGTTGTAAGGTTGTTCGCTAGACACCGGCGGAATATTAACCAGAACACGAGAAATAATGTAGCATAAACCACCGCAGTGGGACGTGCATGAACCATGCGTCGTTGTTATGCACCCTGTTTGTACAAACCTACGTACAATTGGGATGAAGATTAACAATCTAATTAGTCCGTTAGTTAATGAAAAAATATTAGACACGAATTTTTAATATTGTCGTCTAATATAATGATAAAGAATTAAATACTTAAATAAAACGATTCAAAGTTTAGGAGTGGGGCCTAAAACGTCATTTCTATGTATAAAATGTACATAGAAGTGACGTTACGCGACATTTCGAAAGTATTCATTTCTGTAAGAAAATAAAAAATGCGTGTGTAATGATTTAAAATAATCTACCAGACGGACATTAAAATAAAAATTAGTCATCTACCCTATTGGTGGACCTTGTGACGACTGGAGGTTGGATATGCTCGTAATAGTGCACTGCTGCACTATGGGTTTTCTCTACATGAGAAGGATTTGCCACACTTAGCAAGAGCGTTGAAGATCGCAGGTTAAAAAATTTTTGGTTTAGGTAGGTATTTAGAGAGCACTTTTGTCCATTACGTGCATTGCGCAGTCCTTTAGTAGGATATCACGACATGTACGAGAAGATTAAGGTTTGGGCGAAATATATCCTACTCTGCAGTCACCACTAGACATGCATTTGGCCAACATTGGTGTTAAAAACTTCCGATAGTGTTCCATGATCAAACGTTTGATCAAATCTAAGATACTTGAACTTGTGTAGTCACGTTCTAGTAGCGTGTAAACCGTAGCAAATCTGTTGGATTGAACCGTATGGAATATTCTATCGTCTGGAATATATTCTGGAATTGTTTAATATTCTACCTGAATTGCAGATAAATGCGTGTTTGTGGTGTTTCATTTTCACGATCTTGAGAACACACAATGTTCGTACTGAAGGACTTTTCTGATACTTTTTGTGAATTACGAATTACGATATTGACAAGGAAAGATGCATTCAGAAGGAGAATGTGAGAGTGTGATATCTATCTTTCATAATTGCTACGTTGGCGGCACAAAAATAATTGACACGTCAATGACGTCATGCCCGAAATGACAAGGACAGAAATATAACGTGATCTTTTTCTAAATTCAAACGTATTAGGTATATTTTGGCGCAAAAAGAAGTTAGAGATGTTACTTAAAGTCAACTCACTTTATCTTTATAATCGGAAAATAGAAAATTGTGTGTCAAATAATTTAGTAACTACCACATAACTTCCTCAGAACAAAATATATAGTTTCTAGTGTTTCGTGCAACCATTTTTATAAAAATTTTCACGTTGCATTTCACTATTTTTCATTCAGTGATTACATTTTATGAGCTGCTTTCTTTAGCCCGGCGTGTAGTACATTTTGTTCCTGTTTCTTAGAGAAAACTAGTATTGTTTTACTGTTCTCCCTTGAGACTTTAGACTGTAGTATTAATGTCCTGACAGCAGAGAACATGTTTCGAAAACTATTTGCTAAGATAGGATACAGGTCTGATATAGTACCAGACATGTAAGAAGTTATAGTTTTATGACATAAAATATCTCCATGCACTTTTTGATAGTTATACCTATAACTATCAAAACATTTGTTTGAACCCCCTCCCAATACAGGGAATACATTGCTAATAACAGAATACAATTACGAATTTCAATGAAAATTCCTATAGTTTCCTGAAATTTAATGAAACTCCAAACTTTATGCTTGCAAACATATTTCCCTTTCGAGTATAATTTGCAGATTTACTCTACTCTAAATAAAATCAAAGCACATTCAAACTCTCAGTAGATTTCAATAAACAACATGAGATTCTGTTATAAAGAAAAGTATCGATACACAAGTATTTGATAAAGAGGGAAAAACATTGTATAGTGCTCAGTCGTTCGTAATAAATGAACTGTGTTTTCCTGTAGGTATTGGCTGTTCTTGAAGCACTGTACACGATCCTTTTGGCGCGAATTCGAGCGTTCTTGAGTGCCAAGCCTTTGTCACAATATGGCTGCTATTTGATTAATTATTTTGCTTCGAGTGGCACTGTGGAAATGTTAGCGGAGTGTACAGTAATTTTGACATTTTATTTGTAGGTATGTTTCATGTGTTTTCTGTTTAAATGGCTAAAACAGAAAAATATACGTAAAATCTTTTCGAGAGCTTTAGGAAACAGATTCTAAGGACGTATGAGTACTGAGTAGGGGAATGTTATAAATAGTTTCATAAAATAAAGAGCGCCAATTCTAAATAAATTTTAAAACCTTTTCATAAATGATTTCTGAGAAACATAACCCTCGAGTCTATTTCTGCGAAAAATGAATCGTTAAACTTATTTGTATTTCCTGTGATTGTGATTTAAAACCTTTGGATAACAATATCATTATTAATATCCAAAGTTATAAATAATGATAGCAATAGAAATTCATGATTTCATTCAAATCTTTTCATCGAAATGTATCGAATACTAAACACATACGATTTCAATGCAAAAATATTTTTCATACAATTTGAAAACCGTACCGTATCTTTATTCCTTTTGATCTACATTTTCTTTGTACAAAATGTTCCATCCTCATTCCATTTCCTGTAACACAGCAATTTCTCGCATTCACTAACGTTTATAAAGAATTTGCACGTTTAGTAAATCTGGTCGACCGTTTTGAAATAGAAGCTTCACTGAAAAGCGTTAAATACTATGTTGGAGAACTGGGGGAGAAAATATTTAAAAGTATGTGGACAGTGTGAACTGGGAACCACTCACATGTCGTTAAAATAGCGGGAAACAACTATCTAGTCCATTATATAAATTGCTCTCGTTTTGAGCGTCCCACAAAAAGTATAATATGGCAAGATGTTCTCTGAGACGTGAAGTTATGGCGTCGACGAAAATTCTGATGTTTCGTCCGCTCTTATATCTACGTGCTGATTATTTTATTACCTGTTCTTGCGATCTTGCTTTTTGTGTATAGGGCAGAAGAGTTTTTTATGTATGTTTCAATTGATGATACCGTGTTTGAATTTGTCGCTTTTGTTTATTCTACAGTAGCCAGTAGCCTATAACCACATTTAACTTTACTGATGAGAATGAATTGAAATATGAATTGTTTAGGATGAACTTTGTAATTAAACACCTCATAGATGCATATTTAATTGCAAAGTATTTATCGTTTCAATCTCCTTCGGTGCTCCATGTATCTTCAAGAAGTAGCTAAAAGTACTTACACTCAAAGATGTCAAAACTACTACAGGCCTAATTACAAGTAGGTAATCGTGGCTTAGGTAATATATGGTTCAATAGTAGGCCATATAATTCC